AGTGTTGAAGAACAATATCAATGCACGTCGGGACAATAACGCCAAGACAAATTGAATAAGAAAATCCAAAATTTCAACTTTTTTTACAGCATACATATATACGCTTCTCATCTGACCATACCGTGAGCCATCGAAATTTATAAGAGTTGCATAGATTTGCAAGGCCACACACTGTTATGCATCCTCTTAGAAAAACTTTGGTGTCTTGACCTGCGTATACGTTGTGGCCGCCGTCTGCCGATGGGATCGTTTAATATAGAGTTTAAGGAGTTCGATTATTCTTCCAAGAGGGCCAACGAGTCCAGAACTGGGGGTTCCTTGATGTAACACCACAAACAAACGGTTATAGTTGCATGTGTGGGGATGCATAACATTCTTAAGGTTGGATAATACATGATGACTTTAGCAATTTTAACCATCAAGAAGAAGAGCTCCACGCAATATTGTCGATGGATTAATGATGATTCCGATGACAGAAGATGAATTACGGACTAATACACATATATGGATGTCTTCGCCAGATGGAGCGGAGCCTTGGAGAAATTTTTAATGGCGAAGGCCATGGCGGTACCCACTTGTATTCGAAGTCAGATCGACTCGCTCTAATGGAACTCTCTTTGAGAATTTTTGCTCAGTGAGTTGTAAAACGAGCTTTGTTATTGCAGTATATGAACTTCAACATACCTAACCCGCTTTATTACTTTATATTGTCATAATTATCCCAGACTAATCAATCTCTATACTCATTTTTTTTGATATACAGATTATCATGCATAAATTAATAATTTTAAAAATATAGAAATAACGAAGAAGGACTGTCTCTGGACAATTCATCAGTCAATACAACTTTAATACATGCTTCTTGATATGCTTGAAATTTACCTGCTACTATTTACAGACCCGAGTTGGGCGGGATAAATCCCTGAACTTCATGTTTACACAGGTCGCCAAGTATTTATTCACGCATTCACAGTTTATGCCTCAGGTGGCGATCTATAAGGTGAAGCCGACTTGTCGAAAATTCTCATGAGTCACTGTTGGAATTCTAGTATGTGAAGTGATGCCGAGCCCTCGAAAAAGTAAGTGCGATGGCTAGTTCAAAAATATCGCAACAATAGTCGCGCCGACCAAAAGTCATTCCTACCGTAATTGTCGCTAATGTCAACAGGGAATTGATCTACGCGATCATTACTATCGATCCAAAATACTGCCAACGCTGTTTAAACGTTTACCCCACTTCAACAAATATGCCCAAGTGCGCCTAGAAAGTTCGCTGTTGACTAACGCCCACCACCAGGATTCTCTGCTGGGAACCGCAGTCCTTTTTTTATTAAGGGATAATTAACATGCAACGCCGTCCGTCAAAGCTATTCAATTAGCTTCACACAGGCTTGTCAGCACCCTTCTCCCATTAGGATCGATATGTGGACCTGGATCTAGTGGGACCCTGATATTGGCGGCTGGGACAGACCGGCACATAACCTTTTCTGGTTTATTCAATACGGCAAGTTCATCTGATCTTTGAAAATCTAGAGACTACTTTCATATGTATAGGTTATGCGATTGGGTTAAGTTCTAGTAGAAGTATATTAGGTATTATTTAGACTTAACGAACTGGAGAGACAGAAGGGCACTAAATAGATGTAAGAATGGAGCATATGGTGCGTGGCGGCTCGACTTTTGAAACTAACTTGATGTTTTAGCGAGGAAACATGTGCATTTATATGGCGGATGTAGCGTTTAGAGCTGACTGAAACATTGAGATCGGCGAGAGTTAGTCGTGTCGAGGAATCGCATTAGAGCGTTCAAGGAAGTCGACAGGTATACGTGAGAAGTAAATATTCAATGGGCGCTAGGATTTTGTGTCTCGAATCTCCATTCATAGTTGCATAGCCTGTTTGTGGTTTCCTGCACACATGTCCAAGATGCGAGTGTGGCACTTTATATATGTATCGGTATATAGAGAGCGAAAATGTACAGTTGCTTGAGTGTTATTAGTAGACTATAGGACTCACTAAAAGAAAGAAGAGTTCCCTAGTAAATAGAAGCGACTATTCTCAGGATGGTCATGGGTATTATGGCGAGGTTGAGCGATAAATATGAAATTCGTACTGCTTCTCAAGGATTTATTTGGGAGGGAGTTTTGTTTTTCTTTTCAAAGTTGCAAATTTTATATATAGAGGTCGTCTACGTCTTGACATTTGTTATATTCTTTCGTTGCCATATAAAAAATATAACATCTCAGTTTGAGTTTCATGTTCATGATAAGTTCAATGACATGAAGTGATGAAGAAAAGCAATGTGATCAATGATAGAGCCTCTAGGTGTTCATAAGGCAGCCAGGGACATCTGTTAGTGAATTGATTAGGCATTCTTGGATTAGTCTCTTTAAATGATAGCAGATGGTATATATTGTCAATTTAGCGACGGAACAAATATATACGGGGAATAGAATTATACTTAAAGCTATGTAATAGAATCTGATTGACAATGCGCTGTAACAAGGACACGTTTGGCTGGTGAGGAGGGAGAGCATGGCTGGTGTGGAGATGAAGGAGGCGAGTAGGGTTTCAAAAGCAACACACTGGGCGGGAAAAGGAAGCACAGACGGATCATCTGTTAAGCAAGTAAATTTCTTTTAGTGGCTAGTATTTACATTGATTGTAGGAAGTTAAAGGGGAGGCAGGAATGTAAATGCCAACAAGCGGCTTATAATGAATGTAGCAATAGATGCACTAAGACTTGATATAATGTAATGTAGCCCAGAGTCAACACACAGCAAGCCTAAAAGAAATTTTTAATGTTATCTTATATATCTAATTATAGAACATGATAGTTATACTATAGTTTAAAAATACATTGTAACTAAAGTAGAGAAAAGCACGAGATATAATTTAATTGCCATACATATTACATAGGTTTATTGTTAGTTAATTTAAGTTTGATAAAAGTAATCACTAGATGAAACTATATGTAAAATAGATAGTTATACTATAGCAAATAAAAAAAGTCATGTCTGGCTGGCAGAGTTGGGGTACTAATAATTTCAAGGGATAATAATGTTGATGGTATAATGATAGATGTGTGTGAGAATGAATAATTTGAAAGGTTACGATTTATGTATCTGGATATGATGTACTTTATGGATGTATATTTATGTATTTTTAATAATATTTTAAAAAGAAAAACATTAAAATTCAAGGAAATTTTTATATTAGTACAAGGTATATAATATTATTCAATTAATATCTTCGAGCGTAGAAAGCGGCGATCCATCTACGGGCCCAGAAAGGAAACACTGGAAGGCGCAGCGACCGTACGTTTCGGGGTAGCCAATAACATGGATTCAAGGCAAACGTATCTCAAATTAGATTAAAAGCCCTCTATCATTGCACCACAAGGGCTGTCATAACTCTGCTAGCTAGCCCTTGGGGCGACCATGGTGTCCCCCTTCAGCTTTGGGTCAATAACACAACCAACGCCCCCAGCTTCAAGTTGACTTTGGAGCGGCTCACGTACCGCACTTCACCAGACTTCAAACTTTTCCACCAGCGCAATATTAATATATAATATAATAAATAATTAATGGCTTTTGAAAGAAAAAAGAAAAAAATCCTCATCATAGGTGAGAAATACTTGTAAATGAATAAATAGGATAAATTAGAGATTTTTTTTTCTGACAAGGATATTTTACGCTTATTTGCTAAGTAGGATAGAGAGGTTCGATTGAGAATAGTCCCAAAAGTTTCAGGAGTTTGTAAGATATAAAAGAAGAATTAGATATAAACATAGTCTTGTTTAATTTTTGAACTCCTAGGCGGAAGATTAACGGCAGAGAGTCGCAATATTCATATTATTAGGGCCACATATATTCCCTAAGTCTTTTTTTATTGACGTGAGAATTTTGGTTAGGGGATTGCGCTATACTAGAACGAGAGGGCGCCGAGTTTTCAAGCCCTCAAATCATAGGAGAAAGACTTAATCTTTCAAAGAAAACTATGGGGAATTGAACCCATCTCAAATTCAACCCGATACCAACAAATCTGAGATTGCAAACTTGAGACTATTGAGTAGAGTCTAGAGTGCAACTATCCTCAACCCATCTTGGCAAATCCTAATGAATAAAAATCATATCATGATCAGATTCTGAAGAAATTATTCTTGGCAATGGGGACAAAACTTAGTTAGGGAACTCCTACCTTACTAGGAAAAATATGAATTTAACAAAAGTTAATGCTCTAAGTTTCGTATAAAAACTTTGAGCAGTAATAGAGACTTGAGAAAGGATAATTATTTTTGTGGTTTGGTTATTTTGTGAGAATCTTATTAAAATTTGTTAATTTTATTAATCTCAAATCATATATACAGGTTATTGCGCAGTAGTCATAATAACACGTATTTAGAAATTAATATTTTATAAACTGTGGAGGAAGCCATAATTGCTGTTGCTAAATCTCGGCACGTGTATTAAGTTGGGGGGTCTTATTGCTAAATACTTTAAGATTATATGATAATACATCACTTTTTGATGGATTTAAAAAATAAAGTCATAAATATGATGATTTTTTTTGATATGTCCTAGTTAGAAATTAATCTTTTTATTAACGAAGTTATAAGATCTATTAGACATTTATCTTTAATATAGGAAAAGCTTGAAGTCCATTAGAAAATTGGTTATTTATTAGGAAAGTTTGAAGTAACATTAAGAACGGATGTTTTAGGGAAATTGCTTCTCAGAGAGGAGGAACACATCCAGAAAAGATTAGAGCAGGCTATTCAATGTTGCGGCTCGGCCTGCTTCCTCGTATTACTACACTTTGCTAACCAGCTGAGAGGTGCCTTGCATATGTCACTCCCTTTTTTAAACATACAAATTGTGTCCAGGCTCGCTTCCCTCGCCTCTTCTCCCTTCCCCGTAATGAAACCTAGAAAGAAATCCCGGCTGAGTCCCTTTTCCCCGCCTACGTGAAACCCTAGCTACTCCTCACTCATCTCCAGACATGCCGAAGGTCTACCGCAGGCCGCCTCAGGCACTGTTGACTGTTCGACTTCCGGGGCCGCCACCGCGTGTCGCCGAGTACGCCGCCGACAACCTCTCCTTAGCCCTTCTGCCGCCGCCGGAGAGTGTTCCCGCCTCCACCCTCTCGAGCTCCATCACTCTCCTCGACATCCAACGCGATCGCCTCACCAAGATCGCCACCGCCAACTGGCTGAAGGCGGACCGAGAGTTCGATCCCCAACTCGTGAAGGGGATCTATGAGTCCGAGCTTCTCGTTTCTGGGGGTAGGAAGACTGTGCCGCTTCAGAGAGTGATGATTCTTGAAGTGAGCCAGTATCTGGAGAATTATTTGTGGCCTAATTTTGATCCGGAGACGGCGACGTTTGAGCATGTGATGTCCATGATTCTTATGGTCAATGAGAAGGTATATATGTGTAAAAAATTGAAATTTTGGTTTTCTTTTCATTTTGAGATTTGCTTGTTGATTTGATTTTTTATTTCTATTTTTGTCGTTGTTGAAGTTTCGGGAGAATGTAGCGGCATGGGTTTGTTTCTATGATCGAAGGGATGCGTTTAAGGGGTTCTTACAGAGGGTTCTTCGGCTTAAAGAGCAGGTTTTGACTGCGTCACTCGTGGCCTATTATACTGATCTTTTCTCTTGATTTTGGTGTTTTGAATTAAACGTTTATCATTTTTGTAGGGAAGAACTTTGAGCATTGTGGAGAAGACAAATTACTTGCTTTTCATGATTAATGCCTTTCAGGTATGAAAATGCCGCCTTTTTTAAAGTAACAAGTTGGGTTTGATGGACAGTTGATTTCTTGGATGGCGTTGTTATATAGCGTGTCATTCAGTCATTGTGTTACATGTATGTCTCATTGTCTTGATTTTAAGTTCACCCATCAATTTTCAGAGTTTAAGGAGCCTTAAGAGCTTCTGTATCTCCATTATTTGTTTTCCACTATACATGGTTGAGATATCATTGGTATTTATTACTTCTGTAAGTTATGGTCCTTCAATAATAGGCAAAGGTGTACTTTATATTTCCTATAGCTGAAACTCGCTTCTTATCATGCAAAGACAATATTATGTCCTTGCGTATTAGAGTTAGGGCTCAAGTACTTGTAAGAATATATGTTATCCTATAGTTGTTCAGATCACCATTTTTTATATTTTTTTTTTACTAAAAGTTGGCTGCCAGCTGATCGTGTGAGGATATTTTAGTGTAACACTTGAGAAAATTTTAACAACTAGTTGTGAACCTGAATCTACTCGGTTCACAGCAAATTAGTAGGTGATAAATAGACCTGCCATGGGTTTCGGTAGTTCAATTGGGTACAATGCACAGGCAACATAACCTATCTTATTGGTTATGCTGGTTAAGTTCATGGCAGAACTTGAACTTTCACGGACATCATTATTATTATTTTGTTTGTGGACAATTTTTAATAACATCATACGGCATTTATATTTTTAAAGGACATCATAACATTCAGCTTTCTGACAGAGTTTGGAAGATGAGATTGTCAGCGAAACTGTTCTGAAGTTAGTAAGCCTGCAGCTTTGGCACAGTCTATCATTTGGCAGATTCCAGGTGAGTTTAAATAGTTAACTTCATATTTAGTCATCATCCTTTTGCTGATATTCAGAAAGTAAGTTGTTCATTCGCTTTATGTTCTACAGATGGAGTTATGCCAAAATCCCCATCTAATCAAGAAGTGGAAGAAATTGACCAAGAAAGAAGCTAAAGAAGCCAAGAAAGCAGGACATCCATTTGATCCTTCGTCGATGCTTGAAGTGACATTTCTTAGGAATATGATTGAAGAATTTTTGGAGGTATTTGACCATTTTCCAATGCATAATCCCATGATGGTGTTTGTATATTTTATTTTTTGGGGGATAAATTACATTTAGCCATGTTGGACTGTTTTATGCTCCAGATACTTGACTCTAAGGTAATACCACGTATGCAAATTGATGATGAAGACCAAGTTGATGATTCATGTGTTCTATATTGTGAGAGGTTTATGGAGTTCCTAATTGATCTATTGAGCCAACTGCCTACTAGGAGGTACTCGGAAAATTTCCATTTTCAGTAGTTTTTGGTTAATTTACTGGTTATGCAAATATCATTAAATTCTAGATAAGAATCATCTGAAGAAATGTAATCTAGTTCTGAAATTTACTGCTTTGTTCCTTCCCTTTTGTGTTTTTCCTCTTTGTTTAATAATCTTTCTGCCATAGGAATGGGTTCAGTTGTGGAACATGATTCACCGGAGTGACCTCGACCGTATAGATAGATAATACAATGACTCTGACTGTGTCTAGGATTAAATCAGATATTGTTCAAAATTTATATCTTCTGAGTTCATGCTTATGAAGTGATTGAGAACATTTCTAGTGTTTTCTTTTATGAACTTATCAAATTCAAAGTAATGAGATGAAAACCATTACATTACATTCATTTCTACAACATTGTGTATTGGTCGCAATTGTTCACTAGGCATAATATGATATCATCCAACACTCCCAGTAGATTAGTGATGTGGAGTGTTTATGTATCTGGATTCATGCCTCTCCAATCCTCAATTTTGATGGAAGTTTTCCATCTTGTGGGATGCAGAGAGGAACATGAGAAAAAAGTTGCACTTAATAGAACATCAATAGAGACAGAGAAGAACAATGTTGGGTGAGGATGAAAATGTCAGCTTTTACTATTATGTATTGCTATGTTGCATGGGTACAGGTGCAGGCAGTGGCATAGCCAAGATCTGAGTTCTTCTCTTAACAACTGTGTGTGTGTGTGCGTATGTACATATGTACATACATATACATACATACATATATGCATTAAAAAAGGCTAGAGTCTCAAATTGACAACCCAACCAAATATTATATATGAATTATGAAATGATTGTTTACGAGAAAGAAAAGGGTACTCTCAACTCCAAAAGAGTTCTAATTTACTCTGTTCACCTGTGTTTAATCGGAGGTTTAGAACTTCTAGAAATTCTTGGACAATTTCTTGGAGGTTGATTAACATTTTCTTCTGTATTCAAATTTTGATTTGATTTTGTTTTTCTTATCTTATCAAGAATTTATTCACTCCTATAATAGTGTATAAAATTTAGATAAAGGATCATGAAATTCACTAGATCAATAAATTAAACATGGTAAATTTCACATATGGCTCATTGAGTGCTTATTCAGTCAAAAGCAACCAGGGATCGTAATTACAATTTGGCCTCTCTCCATTGATTCAAATTTACAGGTTGTTCCTTTTTAATTTTACAATTACTATTATACTGCACAAAGTATAAGATTTCTAGAGGTGATCTTTTGCACATATCAAAGACTAATCTTTTACTGTATGTGTAAATTAATCAAATTTCAAAAGAGAAAACTTGCACAAAAGTTGAAGAATAAGATAATTTTCATCCCAATTTTAAGAAGAAACTTATCAAGATAAAAACTTGAACAAATGAAGAGAATTTTTCGAGTTTGATTTTATTATTTCGCCTGAGTTTATGATCCTCTCAAATTTGAATTACCTCGCCAAAGATCAAAATTCTGAGTTCCTGTCATCACGTTGATAGGAGAGAAGAATAGGGTTTATAAAGAGAAACTCAAGTTGAGGAAGAAGAGAACTTGTAATCTCAATTATGAGAAGGATTGACTATTGTTGAAAAATACAAGAAAAAGGATTTAGTGGTATGTACGCATCCTATATTATTGAGTACCCAAAAGTGATCCATAATCCACTAATGTTTGAGCCATGATCCTTTTTTCAGAGGAACTGGGCCTTAGCTTGTTTAGCCAAAATGAAAGCATGGGGAGCATGTGGCACCTACTATTAACTACTCATATGAGGTTTGGGTGGGGCCGCGGGGGCCCCCTATCTCCGCCTGTGGGTGCAGGTGCGGTCCATGATAAATTTGCAAAAGATAGGGAATGGGGACACAACTATATACATAAACTTAATAATTTACATAATGCTGATATTATCTTTTATTTCACATGTTATGAGAACTGAAATTTCTATAACATTTTTATGTTTCTTTTATTATATTGATTATAAATTAGAAAACTGCGCAAATTCAACTATGTACCCAAACGACCTTCAATATCATAGTACTGAACTGGGTAGGGACTGAAATGGACCTGATCCATGCCAACGAGTTTGTAGAAGTGGATGTGTAGTATAAACATACAAGAAGTATATGACGAGTGTTTTCGAGTAAAACATGTATTATACAATTATTGAATACACATGTGAATAACTTTATGCGCGTTTCTAAGTAGGATCGGTTCCAGTATGGGTATGATGCATGATAAAAGTGTCCAACGAGTGTCAGTGTCTGGTACATGTTTTGGGTAAGGTTACATCTTCTTGATAGAAGTACCCATGTAATGTAGTGTCAGCCTTTGACTTTTCACGTATATCCAAGATGAAACACCCTTCAGTTTATTAATTAGAGTTGCTCCGGATTATAAGTCAGTGATTATCCTTCTTTAAGTATGGGGTGGCTTGGTACTGGCTGATACTACCTGATACTGTTTGAACTTTGAAACCAGCTGACACAAGTGATGAAGGGTAGGTTTTAGTGGATTCTGACAACTATAAAATAGGCTTTTAGAAACCAATACAAGTTCTTTGATATTCATAACTTGCAATCTGATACTTGCTCTAACTTTAGAAGTTTTTAGCATTATGATTTAACATGAAGGCTTGAATTGATATATGGAAGAGTTTGAATTAGTGCGTAGTAGTTAGTAGTTACTGCTAATTAAGTGGAAGGTTTTGATGAATCCTTATCAAACTGTTGGTACAAGATCACTACCAACGTAACATTGTTTGTGCTTTTATAAGTAGTAAGGTGATTATAGTCAAAAAAGGATTAACACTATCACTGTAGGGACTCATACAGTGATACTGACATGTTCCATCTCATAGACTTGCCTCCATTAAATAGATAAGCATGATGTTGACATGGCCATATATTCAATAGAACCATGATAATGGAGCAGGGACATGTCTGCTTAGCTGTAAGCTACTATCTAATGTAACTCTACGTTTTTAGCCATGTATACGTAGCCTGTAAAGAACCATTTGGATCATCCCAATGGATGGCCCACTCCATCTTCTTGATCTGAATGTTATAAGGTGATCAAGGATAAAGGTCATATGCTTTGGAGATCATTTCCCTAACCATCAAGTTGGTTGTAAACCTAATGGTTTCTTAAAAATAAAACGGAACAAGTTTGAACTGCTTGATGAATGCACAGTTGTTATTAGCTCACCAATATTTTTTTATTCTGAATCTGAAGCACCTACCTACATGTAGATCATGAAGAACGGAGAAAACCATTTATGGGGATAATCCAAATGGTTTTCTTTGAATGGATTAAATCATTTTGAAAGACTGACTGCTAATTTTCCTATTATTTGGCAAGTTTAACAACTGTTATTATTTGTAGATACATGCTATGTATAGTGTGACTGGTGAACCGTTTTCCTTTGTTGTCCCTTATACATGACCTTTTGTCTAGATGCTTAGAAATTCATTGCACATGATTACTCTAGTCCCTTACATTTTGTATGCTGTGCGGTTATGCTAATATAATAGGCTTGCCATTTTCTCTCTTTCTGTGATCTTGATTCTTGGTTTTTTCTATTTCTTACAGATTTTTGAAGGCTGTCGTTGCTGATGTTGCTGTTGTGTCCAAATGCCGTCTAAGTGCACTTTATCATCATCACGAGAAAGGTCGTCTTTTTGCGCAACTACTAGACTTGCTTCACTTTTATGAAGGATTCGAGATTGATGATCATGTTGGAACACAACTTAGTGATGATGATATCCTGCTTGCTCATTATTCTCGTATGCAAGCTTTCCAACTACTGGCATTTAAACAAGTACCTAAGGTTTGTCTTTAGTGATCATAATACATATGTTTCTGTCACTAATTTTTGACAATAAATTTCTATCTCAAATTTTCTAAATTTATTCTATGCTTGGTGTAGTTACGAGATCTTGGAATGTGCCATATTGGTGCAATACACAAGCGTGATGATCTTTCGAAGAAGTTATCTATATTATCTTCCGAGGAACTGGAAGACTTGGTCTGTAATAAGGTTGGTCCAAATCTTCCGTTTCCTTGACTTTCGTTATTTCTCTGCTGTTGAGGTTACTACCCTTTTCCAGAATGCGGCAGCATCTCTTCTGATGCGTAAACTATTATATTTGAACCTACTGCATGAAGGCACCTGCATATACGTTAACCTTTCTTTAGGATTTATACCTTGATCCTCACTATTCGCTGATCTTTGCATATAGGCTAATGCCTTGTGAGATGCACATTTGACTTCAGTAAACCTTGATCTGCACTGTTGACTATTAATATACTAGAATGAGTAGATATTTGCTTTTGACATTGTTGTAGTTCAAAAGTCTTGTAGAGTTGTTTACCGTTAGCAATTTACTTGATGTGTGATATTGGTTTTGGTAATGGTTTAGTTAAAAGTTACCTTACAGACTTAAAGTGTTGCTTCATTTTATTCCTGAGAGATGATTAACAACTATGGTCTTTTATAATTAAAGAATCCTGATTATTGTTGACATTACCCATTGCAGCTGAAGCTGGTTTCTGATGAAGACCCGTGTGCTAAAAGGCGTGACTTTCTCGAGGAAGTTATAGTCTCTTTCTTTGAGAAACGTCAATCTCAAAAGGAAGCAATAAATGCTCTTCCTCTCTACCCAAATGAGAAAATAATGTGGGATGAGAGTGTTGTCCCAAGTATCAATTATTCAGGAGAAGGATGTCTTGCTCTTCCAAAGCTTAACCTCCAGTTTTTAACACTTCATGATTACCTATTACGGAATTTCAACCTTTTCCGTCTTGAATCAACATATGAAATCCGTGAAGATATCCAAGAAGCTGTTCCACATCTTCTTGCATACATTAATAATGAGGGAGAAACTGCTTTTCGTGGATGGTCGAGAATGGCAGTTCCAATCAAGGAATTTAGAATTGCTGAAGTGAAACAGCCAAACATTGGAGAAGTTAAACCTGCTTCTGTAACTGCACGAGTTACTTTCAGCATCTCTAGTTACAAAGCACATATAAGATCTGAGTGGAATGCCTTGAAAGAGCATGACGTCCTATTTTTATTATCAATTCGTCCATCATTTGAACCTCTTAGTGCTGAGGAAGCTGCTAATTCTACTGTACCTGAGAGGCTTGGGCTTCAATATGTACGTGGATGTGAAGTAATTGAGATCTGTGATGAGGAAGGCGTACTTATGAATGATTTCACTGGCCGGATTAAAAGAGATGAATGGAAACCGCCTAAAGGTGAACTTCGTACACTTACCCTTGCCCTGGATACTGCACAGTATCACATGGATATGACTGATATTGCTGAAAAGAGAGCAGAGGATGTTTATGGGACTTTTAATGTTTTAATGAGAAGAAAGCCTAAAGAAAATAACTTCAAAGCAATTTTAGAGTCCATACGTGACCTTATGAATGAGTATTGCATAGTTCCTGATTGGTTGCATAATATATTTTTGGGCTATGGAAATCCTTCTGCTGCACAGTGGACAAACATGCCTGATCTGCTGGAAGTGGTGGATTTCAAAGATACATTTCTCGATGCCAACCATTTGAGAGAGAGTTTTTCTGATTTTCAGGTATTCCTTTATGATAGTAATTGTACAACCT